GGGGGGGGGGGGACATGGGAGAGGGAGAAGCAGGCTTCCTGCGGAGCAGAGAGCCCAAAGCGGGGCTCGATCCCAGGACGCTGAGATCACAACCTGAGCCAAAGGCAGACACTTAACAACTGAGCCACCCAGGCACCCCTAATGTATAATATTAAAAGGAATAATTACACGAGATACAATGAAACTACTTTTCATGAAACTATAAACTACAAAAACTTGAAACCAAACAGTCTGACTGCTATTGTTGAATAATTCATAATAGTACATGATGCCGAAGGCGAAATTTAAAGATAAATAGGTACATTATGGTGATTTCTGATAAAGGCCAAATTTATTCATTTATTAAAACTGAAATATAAGCAATGCCTACAGGGCACTAAATTTTATTTGAGCAATTATTTATAAAGAATTTAAAACATTTCACTTTTATTTCCATTAACTAAAGGGATGAATATGAATGCTAGTTACACAGAAATGGAAAACTATTTGCAATCTTCTATTTACTCCCTTGTATGCTAAAATTAATGTTAAACCCTACTGGCATAAGTTTGAACTACCTCTAGCTTATGTTAGCTTTACCTACAGTTATATTCATACATAAACACACACACACACACACACACACACTGAAAGAAGAAACAAGTAAAAAAGATACCAAAATAAGTATGCAAAGTGGCAAGGCAGAAAAGTCTTTATTCCCTTATACTTATGCATATTGTGATATAATTAATTACATGACTAATTAAAGTCATTTTACTTTGAAAATCTGTAAGAGAATGTAGAAGTGGCAATTAAGTTTTTCACTCAGAAAAATATTCTACATAGTAGTGAACTACTCAAGCCAATTTTGTGTTCTCAATGATTTCATAATAAATTAAAATGACTTACTAAACATTTAACTAGTGTCCCAGCTCAAAATCATCAGCAAACTTTTGGAGAAATTATGTATTTCAATCCTCAATGAAAATGTACCTATATAAGACATCTTTTCATCATTTAAAAAAGTCCTACTGCAGGGGTGCCTGGGTGGCTCAGTCAGTTAAGAGTCTGTCTTCGGGTCAGGTCATGATCCCAGGGTCCTGGGATCCAGCCCTGCATTGGGCTCCCTGCTCAGGGGGGAGCCTGCTTCTCCCTCTCCCTCTGCTGCTCCCCCTGCTTGTGCTGTCAAATAAATAAAAACAATCTTTTTTTTAAAAAAATTAAATAAATAAAAATGTCCTACTGCAGAAACAAACTCTGTTGCTTTTGCTTACTTCTCTTTAAAAAATCCTAAATAGGGCACCTGGGTGGCTCAGTTGGTTAAGCGACTGCCCTCGGCTCAGGTCATGATCCGGGAGTCCCGGGATCGAGTCCCACATTGGGCCCCTTGCTCAGCAGGAAGTCTGCTTCTCCCTCTGACCCTCTTACCTCTCGTGCTCTCTTATCTCTCATTCTCTCTCTCTCAAATAAATAAATCTTTAAAAAAAAGAAAAGATTAAAAAATCCTACATAAAAGTATTCTTACAAATACTGTATTAGAGTTTAAATAAATACAAACAGCCCTGCTTAGAGTCAAACCTGGCAGCCCAGAAGAAATGACTAGAATAAACTGAAACCTTAGGTTTATGCATGAGTGTACTTATAAGTGTCTTTCTCTTTTCCAGATAAATCTAAATGAGGAAATGGGTACAATGGAAAGGAAGAAAGTTATTTTTCTATCTTTTATGTTTCCTCTCTTGTCACTAGCAAAACCCTTAAGAAAAAAGCCGTGTGCTAGCTTTTGGGACAGTAGAGAAGAAAACTCTGAGACTGTTTTCAGTTCCACAAAAGTAAGGGGGAGGAGCAAGACAAAGATGCACAAAAGAAAAGATGAGCAGAATAAATAAATGCCCCTAAAGGGGTGTGTTCTAGCTCAACTCCCAGTGTTCTTTAAGGCAGTACTCCTCAACTTCTGATCATTTCACTCTCCATCCAGAATCCTAATGATCTGGGCAAGGTAGTACTCTCACAAAGCCTGCTTGCCTTTCTCTTGACAACAGCTAACTAAGAATCAAGCATGGTACCAAATGGATTATCTTTCTTCATCCTCACAGCAACCTGAGGACTGAGGCTATGCAGTGTTGAGTAACCTGTTCAAGGTCACAAGTCTGGTAAGGTAAGTGCTGGGGTCTAATCAGAAACCCAGAGGCCCTATTCTGTTAACCAGTATACTATATGGCCCCCTCTCTGGCAGATTCCAAAATCTCACATTTATTGGTGCAAGATGAGACCCATATAGAGGGAACTGCTTAAACCTGTCACAGGCAAGTAGTAAATATAAATGTATACATAACAAAACTGAAGCAGAAAGAGCTCAACTGCTTTGTTTTAATAGGGATTAGTTTAAGAATCAGGTATCAGAATAAAGTAGAATGCTTTTTCAAAACTTTAACAAATGCATCAAGATAGGTGATGGGGGCACTGGGAACTCTAGAACCTAACTACTCAAAGTATGTACCAGACAGTAGCATCTACACTGGGAGTTTGTTAAAATGCAGAATCTCAAGTCCCACCTCACACCTATAAATCTGCATTTTAACAAGATTTTCAGGGAATTCATATGCACATTAAGTTTAAAAAGCACTGCTCCAGAACCACACTTTGAGTGGCAATGGTGTAGAAAACAGCCTTGGCGATTCTCAAAAAATAAACTCCACTTAGAAATGTAGGACTTTGAAATCAACACACTATTTTCTGCTGAATTTGTAATTCTCAGAGCTTTCCTGCCACCAGCAACTCTAGTGTTCTATGGCATTGCCCCCCCCCAAAAAAAAGCAACTGGACTTGCTTCTAGGGCCAAAATGGCAGAATTTCTCAGAGGGGGATTTAAAACTAGAAGACAGGGGCACCTGGGTGGCTCAGTCTGTTAAGCATCTGGCTTCAGCTCAGGTCATGGTCCCAGGTTCCTGGGATTGAGCTCCACATTGGGCTCCCTGCTCAGCTGGGAGCCTGCTTCTTCCTCTCCCTCTGCCCCTCCCCCTGCTTGAGCATGCCCACTCTCTCTCTCTCCCTCTCTCAAATGAATAAAATCTTTTTTAAAAAAATAGAAAAAATAAAAATAAAAATAGAAAACAGTAAAAAAATTATATGCTTATTGTTACTAATCATGAAGAGGGCTAATGCATAAAAGATTTTGTTGAAAAAAATCCATAAAGATTGCGTAGCTCATAAAGATAAGAAGTCAGAGCTACAAATACTTGAAAAAAGAGAAGAAATAGATGGGACTCCACATTATAAATGTCAACTTCACTTTAAGGTATATTACACAAGATTATACCAGTTAATTATACTATTTTAAAAGAATTGCCCACATTTTTAGACAAAAATATTAACAAGTTACATGCCCTAAAGTTTTCCTTTCACAGATAGTGTAGCAGCAAAAGTAGAGTCAAAATAGGCTATTTTTAGGGGCGCCTGGGTGGCTCAGATGGTTAAGCATCTGTCTTCCGCTCAGGTCATGATGTCAGGGTCCTGGGATAGAGTCCCGCATCGGGTCCCGTGCTCTCTCTCTCTCTCTCTTTGTATCTCTCTGTCTCAATGAATAAATAAAATCTTTTAAAAAGGCTATTTTTAAAGCAATAAAAGGCTGAAACAGCTCAACCTAGTGCTTCTGAATTTCTTTCTGAGTACTATATGCTAATTAAACTTATTTATAAAGACTTTTAATGAAGTATGGTTGGCAAATAGATTAAAATTCCTTTGTAATCTTAAGGCTTGCAGAAACTTGACAATATTTACCATGTGTAATGACTTTAAGATTTCTTAAATAATCATCTCAATTAAGAACAAATTGGCCAATCTGTGAACACTACATACCCAATGCACCAAATCACTGGCACTATTACACTATCTCAAGTTTTAGAGGTTCTTAGTAGGAGCCAGAAGTCAAAATAGAAAATCCATTTGTTATACAGTCTCAAAAATTTCCAAAATACCTAAATATTGGGTAAATTAGGTATCTCTATCCCATTATATATTCTATATTATAAATTCTGTAACATTTTTTAAAACAAAATATCCTCATAAATAATACTGTATAGAAAAGTGTGATATTAACCTTTTAGTCTATTTAACATCTTTATACAATCTAGAACATACTGCTTCATTTGGACTGCCCAATTAATTTTTAGAAAACATGACTGTAAAGTAGAATCCGGAAAAGATGTGTAAAAAAAAAAAATAGAATCCAAGTAACATCAATCTGAACTAAACTTATTTAAAGGTAAAGGTTTAAAACATATTGATTAAAAAATTGTCTTAAAATCTATGAGAACTCCTTCATCTTTGCAACTTTGAGGTTGTTACCTACCCTTCTAAACCTTGCTGAAATTCCATTCATCTCCTCCATCCAAGCAACATAATAGAATTTGCTGGATCAGACCTCTAAAGAACTTTAGCATCTGTTTAACCCTAAATAAATACAGGTTTTGGAGTCATAGAGATCTAAGTCTGAATCGGTGTAATTGTTTGAATCCATATACTAGTATACACAAACCATATACTAGTTTGAGTGACCTTGGGCAAACTACTCAACCCGTTTATTTTGTTGTTGTTAAATGACAAGTGTCATGGGGCTGGTGGGGTAAATATGAGAACCACATAAAGTATCCAGAATTGTTTTAATGAGTTAAACTAACTTAATGAAAAATAGTTAAAAAACAAGATTAACTCTCCAAATCTATACCAGATATGCAAACATTACACAAATTATTTTTATCTTTCCTAAAAAATTTGAAAGGAAATAACATCTGATTAAAAAACATTAAATAACATCTGAGAAAGGTGTTTAAACCAGAAATTATCCAAGCTTTTGCTTAGATTTCTTGTAAAATATCTAAAATACTACCACACAGTAATTCTAATGTTTCATTTTAATTCCTTTTAAAGTTACTTCCATTTAATTAGTTTCTCAATGGAAAAAAAAATCAATGAATTCATTCTTAAGCATTACTACATTTATTATTACTTTTAAAATCCTTGAATGTTTATTTACTCTATAACTGAGGGCCTTAAAAGCCATCAGATGGTAAATGTTTAACCTATGCAACAAAAGGGTAAAAAATATTTGACTAAAGTTTTATGCAGATTTTTGCTACGGCTGAAATTTAACAATCTTACAAAGAGTTAACTGAACCAAGATCATGGGAAATAAAGCTATAGTGGCAATAAAATATGATTACAAATACTTTACCCCTGCAAATGCATATTTTAATATGAATTTAGCATAAAGCACACCTCTCTTTACAAAACAATTTACATCCTGTCATCCTTTTATTCAACTGAAATGGAATAAATTTGAGGGAAAAAATTGACAGGTATGGATTGGAGATTTATAGATTCAAAAAAACTTTCCAAGTTTGTATACGCTTTAAATGAATCATTTGATTTGTCTTCACTGTGTGATTAGAAGTTTTGTGAACTTTGTTTCTCCCCACTGTTTTGTATTTATTGATTAAACAAGGTTAATGTGTATAAACCCAGTCCTGGGGGATTTGTAATTCTTTTTTTTTTTAAGATTTTTTTAATTTATGTTTGACAGAGAGAGACACAGCGAGAGCAGGAACACAAGCAGGGGGAGTGGGAGAGGGAGAAGCAGGCTTCCGGCGGAGCAAGGAGCCAGATGCGGGGCTCGATCCATCATGACTTGAGCCGAAGGCAGAGAAAATGCCAAGTACTCTGAATACTTTTTACATTTCACCATCTAATATTTTTTAAACAATTAATGACATGTAAGTCTTTATGGTCACTAAAAGTCTTTGTATTTAAGACTGTAGCTCAAAGGATCATGTTGTTTTGGACTCAGTTTGAAAGTATTATACTTCTTTCAGGAAAGAATTTTTACTATTTACAACATAATTAAAAGATTTCTAGAATTGTTATTCTAAACCTTCAGTGAAAATTAAAAATCATGTACATACAAAATTGGGAGGAAAATCCTATTTATAAGGGCAAATATAGTTAAGTTTACAAATGACTTTAAAAGTCTGCACTTCTTAGAAGTATGAGACATCTTTTTTTGATTAAAATACTAGTGCCCTTGATTTTCCACAATAAAAAGATTATTCACTTTGTTAGTTTTTTATGGGAGGGAGGAGAGAGGAAAGGTGGAGAGAAGTATGTGAAAATCCTCCGTGACTAAAAAGAAATTTTAGTTGATAGTGTTTTTTTTGTTTGGTTTGTTTTGGAGGTTTGGTTGTGTGTGTCTGTGTTGTGTGCACGCGCGCCTGGGAGAGAGGGAAAAAAAAACGTGTAATGAGTAAAATGACAGTTTATGAAGCCCATAAAGTCTTCCTTGGAACAAATTCAAATTCACAAACTCCACAAAGTCTACGGATTTGCCTAGAGCCACAAAGAATAAAAATCAAGGCAGCACCGCCCAACTCTATACTAAAAGCGTGTGGTGAACTTAACCTTTACTCACTGTTGTGTTGAAAAGTAGGCACACTGGGTCTTAGAGAAGAAAAAACAAAAACCCCAAGTTCCTCATGCCACTGTCGGAAAGGAAAGAGAAGGAAAGGCAGGAAGATAAAGAAAAGAAAAAGGCAAAACAAGTGAATGCATTATACTAAGTAACCCGGTGCATTCAGCTGCCCCTTACGTGACACTTTGGCACCGGCACGTACCTGTCTGCAAGAACAGACCTTATTCTTGGCTCTTAATTAAGCGAAGCCCAGTTGGTAAACATTAAGACGCAAAGCGTTAGCATTTTGATTGCAAAGTAACCTACCTGTTAGAGTAATTCTTTGATCTGGAGGCACGGAGAGGACTTGGCTCTCACGCATTTTCAAAGGGCCCAGATTTGGAGAGGTTGCCTGCGCTCCCGTGACTTTGGGGGCTGTCCCCCGGGAGCGACCCTTCATTCCTAAGGAGAGCAGACGTCCTTTGTACATCCACTTTTGCAGCTTCTTGACTGTCACCGCGGGAGGCTTGAGGAAGGGGAGCCCCTCCTGGCCGTCTCCTTTGCCGCTGCGTAGCACAGCGGACCCCGCAGGATCCCCGAAAGGGCTTCCCGAGGAGCGGCCGGGGTCCTTGGAGCCGGGAGTCAGGAGGCCGGAGGGCGCGGTGGCCGGGGCGCTGCCTCCGCTCCAGCCGTCCATCCCGCCTCCACGTGGCGGGGGCTCGCCCAAGTCTCCGCGCGCGCCGCACCTGATCCAGCTGTCGCTCGGCCACCGCTGGAAGGGAGGAGGCTTGGCACCCACCCGGAGGCTCTCGAGGCTTCTGCTGCAGGACAGCCGCATCCGAGGAGTCCGCAGGCGGCCTCCCCCCGACTCCCTTGGAGGCGACCGGGGCGGGGACACCTGCTGCCGAGGGCGGCCACCGCCTCCCCGCTGCCAGTCTTGGGGGCAGGCTCGGCGGACCGCAGCGCCGCAGGGGGAAGGTAGCTGGCCCAGAGCCCGGGCTCCCACAAGGCAGCCGCGATCCGCCCAACCCCTGTCGCCCCGCCGCGCGCCCGAGTCAGGGGGCAGGTCGTGCATGGCCTGGATCAGCAGATAATAGGCCTCTCGCAACTGGGTCTGCAGCCTGCCTGTCTCCAGGCGGCCGCCCTCCGCCCCCGGGGAGGAGCCCGCCGCCGGGGGAGGCGGGGGCCACCGCTCCGCCTCCGCCCCCTCAGGCTTGGGCGCCGACTGGGAGCCGCCGGGCAGGTTCTCGTAGTAGTCGGCGTCGTCCTCCCGGTCGTCCTCCTCGTCTCCGCTACCTTCGGAGCCCGGAGGGGCGTGCAGACAGGGGCGAGTGAGCCCGCGACCCGAGGAGAGGGCCTCCTTCCCGCCGCGCTGACGAGGCCCGAGCGCTCCCCACTGCTCCGGGCGTCCTCCCGGGACCCGCGCCTCGGGAACCCACGCCTGCGGCGACGGCGGGGGCTGCTCCCAGCTCGGCCGGGCTCCGCGGGCGTGCTCGCATGGGCAGGGGTCCGGGGCACGGCCAGCGTCTCCTTCGGCAACCGCGGAGGCCGCCACGGTAGCTGCAGCCGCCGCCCGGAGCCCGAGCCCCCCGGCGGCGCGGGGACTCTGCCTCCCCCGGAGCCTGGACAGCGTCCTCCTCAGAGGGTCCGCCATCCCCTCCGCCTCAACAGCCAGGCTCGCCCCCTATGCGGGAAGAGGACGGAGCCCAGTTCGGGAAGAATCTGCGCTCGCGGAGGCGGCGGCGACGGCGGCGGCTCCCCATGACCGGCGCTGGCCCTCGCGGGCTCCTCACATACTTGGCATAACTCTGCCGCGGGAAGGGGTGGGGGAGGGCGGCGGCGCCGCAGAGCGCATGCCCCGGAGCCTCGGGCCGCGACGGGGCGCGCAGTCTGCGGGCGGCTGAGCTGCGTTCCCCGGGTGGGCGCGCAGCGCGGCGGAGGGTCGGGAAGGGAGGAGGGCGAGAGTGAGCTGAAGTAGACACGGGGACGCGAGAGGGAGCGCCCAGAGCGTGGTGAGGAGTGGGGCCCGGGGGAATAGGTGAACAGTTAGAGTTGAGGCAGAGAAAAGAATGAGCGGGAAGGTGTCTCGGCTGGAAGGCTGCAAAGTTTTGGAGAAAGGGAAAGTGCCCTCCTGGCTGCCACCCCGTCACCTTCACCCCCTCCCCGTTGCCACCATTACACGAGGCGTGTCGAATATGACAAGTCCTAACTTGAGAGAAAACAAAGATCGTTTTGACGGACACAGTGTGAGTACAGGTGTATCTCAGTGCAATGCGTTCTAGAAACGTTCCTAATCATTTTAATGACACGGGGAGCCAGCTATTTAAAGGAAATTTGCAACGATTCCTTTTAAGTTAGGAAGAATCCTTTTGCCCCCCAAATCACCACCTTGTCCTCCTAAGTCTTATTTTTTTAATGAATGCATGCCAACACAAAATTCTGATTATCAACCTTGTAAAATGGAGCCGCAGATATAGTGCCCCCCATCACCCCGCTTACACGTCATTTTAATGAAAACTTGGTTGAGAAACAATTGGGTTAAAATTGGGAAACGGTGTTATTTGGAAATATCAGCTCTCTCAAAAACATGAAATCCCGTATTCTGTGTTAACAGTTGCTACAGGTGAATGGACCTATCCCTGATTGGTAAGAATCATCGTCACTGTCCCTCTGATTTTAGTTACATTTTTTTTAAAGATTTTATTTGTTAGGGAGAGCACGAGGTGGGTGGGGCAGAGGGAGAGGGAGAAGCCGATTTCCCACTGAGCCCGGAGTCCCACGCCCCTCAGGACTCCATCCCAGGACCCTGAGATCCTGACCTGAGCCCAAATCAGACACTTCACTGACTGAGCCACCCAGATGCCCCCAGTTACATTTTTTTTTAACGTTTACATATTAGGAAGGGGCCTGTGTCTGAGTAGCTTATGAATGTACTCCTAACTCCCAGCACAGTACTCACACATAATAAGAATTCAAGAAATACTTGTTGCATAAATGAATGCCTGCATAACTAAATAAAAGAATTTAGTTCTGGGGCATCTGGCTGGCCCAGTCGGTAGAGCATGCCACTGGACCTCCGGGTGGTAAGTTGGAGCCCCACACGCCCCACCTTGGACAGAAGTTACTTAAAAAAAAAAAAAAAAAATTGGTCCTAACTTATCCAATTTCCAAATATACTTATGGAAGTTTCTTTTTTCCCCACCAGTTAAAGACTCCAATCTCTAAATGTGCTTTGATATATACTACTTTCCTTAGTACTTAGTCCCTGCCTCCTGGAATAATTTTACCTGCATCTCTATTTGCAAAAATCTTACCCATCCTTTAAGACTCCGCTCAACCACCTTCTCTCAGAAGTCATCTCTGATATTCCAGATGGACACGATCTCTCATTCTTCCAAACTCCAGGAGTGCTTTATTCATATCCATTCGTAGTATATTTATTGGTTTTTGTTTTCTACAAAGCACGCCTTATGTCTCCTACAAGAAAATTCATAAATTCCTTAAGGGCAGAGACTATTTATCATTGACTTCTGTATTCTCCACAGAGCGTAAATACAGCATCTTATATATGTACATGATGAATAAATATTCTTGAATTAATGACAGTTTTAATTTAGAGGAAACGAACAGCTTTAATTTCCAGTCTATTGCCTAACTCTCCACTAGACCATATTGTATTGGTGTTGTTTTAAAATTCTTTTAGTTCTGAGTAAGAAATACTTTGTTAAATAATCTAAATCCTCATCTAGGAAAATACTGTGAAATGTTAAACTATAATTTGCATGCATTACTATTCATAGTCCTACAGTATTTTTATTCCGTGGAGCAAAGGCTATTTAATGAATAATCAAGGCATACAATTATGTCCCAGTGAAATATTCCCACAGGAAATGACTGACAGTAAATCTGCCAATAATGGTGTCTATAAACACAATTTGATCTCTATCTCGGAAATTGTTTCCATTCCAACTCTTGGTTACAAAATCTGTCTATTCTTTGTAAGTTAACAGTTGTGAAGTATACCATAAGTTGCATATATGTGTAAACATGAATAAAAAAATATAACCTTGAAGGTCTAGGTTGAACTTCTTTAATTCAGCTTGTCAACTTGTTGATTTCAGGAATTATACATTGGCCAATATCAAATACTACACATTGTTCTATACATTACTCAGAACTAAGTCTGAACACAACTGAACTTAATGCCACTTTGAAGCGGAAAATGTTCTATCGCATAAATTCACAATTTTTAAGAAGTGTTTTAAAGAGTCACAACAGAAATTAATAAGGCAGTCAAGGCTATATGACACTAAGTAATGACCTTAAAAATGCAAATCCCACTGTATGTATATTACACTTCAATAAAAAGTTTATAAAAATGTAACTCTACAAAGACAGTACCCACAGAATTTACATTACACATATAGTTAAGATGGTGACAAGATATGAACATAAGTTATACTTTGTAAAATCCTCTTTGTGTTAACAGTTTTACCCCATTCCCTCAGTTATCTCAATTTTCATATATTTCTAATCAACAGATTCCTATGAAAATTAAGGGGTGGAGATACATTTTCCAGTGTTTGTACTTGTTTCTCACTGACTTGGAAATCATTCTGATGCCCTGTGAATTAACAACTATGTCAGCACAGTCACAAAAGATGAAACAACTATGGGATAATAGGACTCCGGTAAGGCCGGGAGCCAAACTAGGGGTGGGGTGGTACTGACTCAGTCTGGGAGAAGGGGTAGGGAGCAAGACAGGTTGAGACAGAAGGCTAAGTTTAACACTAATACAAAGCAAATGTCTAGGTATGTTATGGTTATTTTCTAAGCAATTTAGAGTGCATTTCTGTCTCACTGCTGTTCAGTCTTCCACTGCTTAGTGGAACCAAAGACAAGTTTAACTTGGCATTTGCCCAGTTCTCTCTCTCTCTCTAAACTGCCTTCTAGGGATCCTCTGGTATAGACCTGCCTGGTCTGCCATGATGCCGTTCCATCAATATTGAGTAAAAAGGGTTTTAGCCCAAAACTGACCACCCTGCCACTGCCCTGAGACTCAAAGATGGCATGTCCTGATTACAGCATTTTTTACTGTTAATTTTTTTCCATAATTAATGATATCTGGCAATTAGTCATGTTCCTTACCTCATCCCCTACCTTAAACCAAAGGAATAAAAGGGAGGCTTTTGCCAAATACATATGTATTTTCTAATGTTTTAGAAATGTATAATGTTTTAGAATATTCACTCTTTCACACCTTCTTGTTGTGTATTTAGGATATGTAGAGTAAGTTCCTCAGAGTCACCATAATAAGTGAAGGGGAATCCAAACCTCATCTATATGATTCCAAAACCACTATAGCCTACAACCCTAGGACATTTCCCTGTAGAGAAAAATAGAATACCCATTTGCTATAACCATACTTGCGCTGACCTGAAACTTTGTTTTCATAAATTATTTAGTTGGTCACCTTTCAGAAGAGTTTAATATTTTATGAGCTTTTGTGAATGCAGCAAATCATTGGAAAGCTGCTTGTTGAAGATTTGAATGCTTTTCTGTGCAGTCCTCTTCAAAGGTGTTAGAACTAAATCCTGTAATATAGTCCCCTTTAATTGAAAATATTAAGCCACAATGTGCAACTGCATCCAGTAAAAGTAGTCTAATTTTAAAAGTAGGACAATCTCAATTAAATACTTTAAAGGCAAAATATATGCATCCCTAAAACCGCAGGCACTGGCAGATAAGCCTCTTTTAGAAGTAAACTGAGGGTATAGCCTGTCCCTCCTAAGTGATTTGTATCTCCGGGTAACTCACAGTTGATGGAGAGAAGTAGTGTTGTTTTGTTTTTGGTTTTTTTTTTTTCCAAAGCTGTTAATCTAATAAAAAGAATTGGTGCAATACCAACATTTTTTGTTCTGATGAAATACTGGATCTAATAATAGAGCTCGACAAAAATCACAAGTGGCTACTGCGTCACCGAGAGAGAGACAGCCTGACATCACAGGGCTTCTGGTCAAGTACACAGCACCACCTCTTACCAGAAATGAACCTGAGTTTGATCAGCCTCAAGAT